TATATACAGCTGAAGCAAATTTATTTAGATTCAAATTTGTTTCAAAATATGCGAACAGTGACAGTGGTTGCAGCGGCATCATAGAATACATAAGAAAATTTTACAGTCGAAAGGACTGTAAAATGAAAAGGAAGTCAACTCAAACAAGGCTCAAAATCAACTTCAAGATAAGGGTTTAGATATCAGGATCTTGCACTAATCTTTTACTGCATTTATATATAAACTATTCAATTAATGGTTTACAATATAATCTTTAATTATTTACAGTATAGATATATACTATAACAATTAATGCTTTAAAATATAATCTTTATTATTTGCTTAAGGGTGTAGTATGCTGCCCTGTCATGAAAACACCACACAACTGACAATTTTAAAGCGCTAAAAAAAACATGAACATACCTTGCTCTTCTGAATAAGAGTATCACATTTTGATTACCCTACTGTCATCTGTAAGCATACTTAAGTTTTGTAGTATGTCTCCGGCTTCCTCGCAGAATGTGATGATTACATCTGCTAGCATCATGTCTTTGTTAAAGTTCTAGAATTAACAGAGAAATAATAGTGAGAGAGGTTAACACTTGGTTTAGCCATGATATAACTATTATTATTAATTTGTCAACACTGTATTTGTATTGTTGTATATTACCATTTTATTGAAAATGTATAGATAATAATAATAATAATAATAATAATTATTATTATTATTATAATAATAATAATTATAATAACAATAACAATAATATGTAGCTAGTAGTAAGTAGCTAGGCCCCTAGCATAGCGCAAGGCCCTAATTGTACTAAAAACCAGCTACTAATAGTAATAAATAGGCTAGGCTAACTACAGTACAGACAGTAGGCCTAGGCCAAGTTAGCTACGCCTGGCCTAGGGCCTAGGCCTATGTTAGGTGTAGTACAATGTAAGATAAAAGATAAGGTAGGCCTAGGCCCATTCTACCCTGGTTTTTGTTTATTATTTTTTTTACATTAGTATTATGGTTGTATCGTATTCTTATTTTACCTTTTCTACGAACACTGCATCATCAGGGCACCGTCCTAGCCTATAGCCTAGCAGCTAGCACTGGCCAAGCCAGGCTACGGCTTCGTCGGCTAGAGGCTGTATGAAACATTCAATCAATCAAGTTGTGTTGAATATTAAGTCTTGCATCAATGAATTATCCTTGCTTTGTAGTTATCAGTGAGCACACCAGCTATTATTGTTGTATTTTGTACCTTAAAATCACAGATATTTGTCAAACATTGGTAAGTAGACTCCAGTACCTGGTACACACAATGAATTTGAATGTGGATCGTAGGTTTCCATTGGTCAGTTTCGTAAGGTTAAATTAGTGGCCAATGACGGCAGGGCATATAATGATGTCATTCACTCCGCCGGGTATGGGGAGGGGGAGGGACCTGAAATGACATATCACTACCACATGGAGGATGATACCAATGACAATAGAAATAATTAGATATATGAATAAATAATTAATTAATGAGGCCTAATGGTAATTAATTATTTGTACTGCTACAGAATCTTTTGTAACCAAACATAACTAACTGTTACAATGCTAACTGTGTGCAGTTACATACGACTTCCGCTGTATGTTTAAAGAATCATTTTATTGCACAACAGACGTATACACAAACTACTGTAACAGTATGTAGGCTTATCTGTCGTATTACAAGCGATTTGTTTGTATTACTACAGAATCTTTTGTAACAAAACATAACTGACTATAACAAAGCTAACTTTGTTCAGCTACATACGACTTCCACTGTATGTTTACAAAACCATCAGTTGAAGTACAGATATTTTTTACAGTGAAGTAGGGGTGTAGGCCTACATGCGTCGAAGCCACGTTTCTTGTGCAATAAAAACATGGTTGAAATCTCCCGATTTTACTCTACATTCTATGATTGTACATCGTCTTATTGCTTTTATATTTTATTTCACTTGGAGCATAGAGAAATAACACACATTGTAAACTACGGTATTGCTATTATTTTTATTTTTATTCTATTTTTTTTTTTTTTTTGTTTGGAAAAATACATTTCCAGCATGCCCTTTATCAAGTAAAAAAGATGAAACAATTTGTTCGAAACCATTTTGAAGAAATCGAAAGTTAAATTATAGGCCTACAATTTGCAAGTCGGTATACTGTCAAGGCTAAATGGTATTTATAAAGAAACAGTGATAAGGGAGCACACCGAATGACCAAGTGGGCTATTTCTTCCATCATGCTTTATTTAGGGGATTAGACAATTAAAAGCTAAACTAAAAATACTGTATTGAATATTAGCATTGAGAAAATAAATGTAAGCTTATAATAACAAAGTAAGTACTGAAGTACCGGCCTTTTCTCCATTTTTCTCTTCTGTGATCACCTACAGACAAATGCAAAGAAATGTTTATTTTTTGAGTACACAATAATTTTAAATACCAAGGTTTTATACATCATTATTTTGAAAAGACAAACGTGTCATTCATTTCTAGAGTTCATGAACATGCTACATTTAAAAGGCCATGTAAAATTAAATAATTGGTTAGTTAGTATCCCTGCCCGATCGTCGGAGAAGGCCCCGACCCTTTTTTTTTTTTAACACTCAAACTCCATCTCCCAAAGTCAATTTATTATCTAGGTTTGTTCACCATTCCTCCACACGCTAGGCCTAGACGTTCGGGCTTCGCGACTTCACCTTCGTCAAAGTTGACATCTAGCCTAGCCTTTGTGTTGAAACAACATTAATTAATTATTGGTACTGTACTTCTCTTTGTTAATAATTTATCTTTATTTTTTGGCAGAGTTTATACTTGCATAATATAATTATATCATTGATCGTTTATGCACATAGGGTCTTTCCTAACGAATTATTGATTCTACTAAGATGATATGTTTCATTTAACAACAGAAACCGACAAAAGTAGCCGCTGTACTGTAAAGATAGGCAAGTTCATTAAAGTAGTACACAGCTGTTGTGCGTATTAAAGATATAATTCTGTCAGTTTATACACACGTATAAGATCAGTTAAGACCATTATATACACAGTCGCTGTGCGTATAGCCTCGTCCTACTTTAAAATTGTTCAAATGTTAAAATCAATGAACTGCTGTACGGTACTCCTCAGTTGATTTGGATAGGCATGGACAAATAAAATATACAGTAATCTGAAAGTTATCCTGATTTACAAATGTTCAACATTATAAAATTCAAATACCGTAAAACCTCGAATTAAAGCCCATCGGCTTCTTCTTTTGTTTGCGAAATTGATGCTTCTTTTCGAGATGGGCTTCTTTTCGAGGCTACTTTTGCAAACTAAGGAGGGGGCTTCTTTTCAAAATAAATGGTGTACATTTTGGGAATTATACTATGAAACATTGTCATGGTCACTGTAAAAATTTTCCTCCTACGAAATGCTGTTAAATTAGGCCTACAAGGATTTTTTTTTTGGTTAAATCATTGTGATAAAGTATAACAGTACAGACTAAAATTTATAATTTCTTTTAAATTTTTTAAATCTGTAACACTTAACATCGAACTCGTTATGTTAATTGCTTTTTGACAGAGAGTATAGTCATTATAGTAGTAATTGTAATTTATGTACAATGTATACACTGTACTATCTCGAAAAGAAGTCCATGCTATCTTGAAAAGAAGCCCGTGCTTTATCGAGGCTACTTTGCAAACTAAAGAGGGGGATTCTATT